TTTTGGATCAAACAAAAAGGAGAAAACCGACTGGTTTTTATGGCTTTGAAGAGAGAATAGGGAAGAAATAGGAAAAATCTCGTAGAGATGGCGTTTGTGGTTTTGGTGTCTTGGATTATCATGATATTTAAATTAGAAAATAATTTTGTTGATTGCCATGTTCAAACATAGGCACCAGTGGTCTAGTGGTAGAATAGTTCCCTGCAACGGTACAGACCCGGGTTCGATTCCTGGCTCGTGCAGTTCATCTTTTTTTCAGTCTCCTCTTCTTGAATGCCTAATGTCTCAATTAGCTGGCAACCTAATGCCCAAAATAATTAATTCTCTGCTCTGAATCTTTTGATGGTTCCAACCACAGTTGTTTCATTTTCGAACACCTAATGTCTCAAATTTTTGGAGCATACCTCCGCAAGTTTAGGTTACAAGATCCAAGGGTCAAATGAATTGTACTATTTTATTTTTTAAATGATTCCCCTCCCATATCATTGCATTCAACCTGTCCTTGCCAAAAACTTCCTGTGGTAACGTTAACCCCAGTAAATACCCTCAAATTTCAGAGTTTTTTACCTTTTAAACTCCAACACATTATACATATTCCTAACATGAGATACATGATTACCAAAAAAGAATCACACTTTATAACATACAAGGTACAATAAAACCATCCAAAGCGCAATGCACAACAAATCAAGAAAGAAAATGGCAACTCTTCAATGCTCCCCTTCAATCAAATCAAAGACATCTTCAGGACAATTCATGAATTGTGTTAAAACATGTTGTGCTCTGCCTTTGAAGAACATTTTCGGACAAAGTAGCAATTTTCTTCCAAGACACAAGATTTGCTGCCATTGCGTTGTTCTTTTTTGCAGCTTTTCCTTTATGGGTTTTAGATCCATGTATATTAATTTGCACTTAATCATACACCCTAATTGTCGGTATGATTAATGTAATCACACAGATTAACAAACTTTACAAATACAATTATCGAAGATCTTGTTCCCTTGATCGATTTCTTAGTTGTATTCATAATATTCTAATGCATGCACACGCGTATCCCGCGGCACTCCATGGACAACTTCATTAAAAGATTAAGAAATTGGAATAAACTACGCTTGGAATCCAGCTTTGCTTGTAGGGATGATTTCATGGCAGTTTCTTCTGTGTGTATATATATAAATATACATATACATCTTTAACAATCCCATCATCGAGTTTGATTTAAAAAATGGCTTCGTTTCTTCTTTTTTTTGGTTCTGGTTAATGCTTTTGTGGCTATGGCTAATGCTCAAACATCTGATTCAGCTGATCTCCAACATCCTGCAGCATTAAGGAAACTTGGAATGCACCAGATAGTGAAGACCATTGGCAATGCACCAGCTTCAAGTCCATCCCCAGCACCCCGCTCGGGGGATCGGACGGCTGCCATTACCGGACCAAACAATGGTGAAAACGTGAGTGTTGAAGGAGAAGCTATTGACCTGAAAAAGCCTCATCGTTCGGTGGACAAATCTGTAGCAGGGGGTGGCGTGATCCTTGGAGGCCTTGCCACAACTTTCTTGGTGGCGGTTTTTTGCTATATAAAAACCACCGGAAGACACGAATCAGAGACTCGTCAAAGTAATAATGATGAAACCAGTAATTGAATTGTGTGTATATGAAAATTACATGGTCTTGTTGTGAATGCTTAACTTCTGTTCAAAAAACTGTAAAGAAAATTACAAATGGAAAACGATTTGCAAGTGCATAACATTAGTGTCGTATGTTATTGAATCTGCAGTTTTCTAATATCAAACCAAGATCGCCCAATGTTAGGAGTGTAATTGAATCGAATTTAAACGAACAAAGTTGTTCGTGTTCGTTTGTCAAAAAAAAGTTTCAAACTGAAAAAGGACAAAAGGCCCAAAGTTTCGTGATGGGCTTCACAAAACATAAACAGTAGCCCATCGAAATTGAAGTTGGAAAATCTCTATCTTGATTCTTCTAGCGGCTGTAAAGCTATAAACTTCGACTTAAAAGCTCTTTGCTCGCCCATCACGAAATCTCGAAACCCTTCGTTTTTCTTGCTTTCATTAAGTTTTCAATCAGTGGTAAAAGCTAATCCTTCAAAGATCTCGAAGATGTCAAACGAGAGAACGGTGATCGCCATCATCAGAGCGGCAAGACCTTCGTTTAGGAACGACCAAGACAAGGTTGCGTTCGCCGTTCACGCGACTTTTCTTTCCGCTGGTTTCGTCCTCACCGCCACTGGGCCTGCTGCTTTGGGCGACAACGTTTTCTCTTCTACCTCTACTGGTATTCGCTTTTCTTCTCTTTCTGACTTGATTGGTACTATTACTCTTTCACCTCCTTAAGAAACATTGTTGGTTTTTAGACGAGGTAGGAACCGATAACTGGAACGAATTCGAAGACCATTACGCGTTTGTTTATACCAATCCCGAGAAAGGGTGGAAGAAAATTTTGGTCAAATGTCTGGTTATGAATAGGAAATTGCTTGTCGAGACTTTGGCTGAGGACAGTTCTCAACCCCTTCATCTTGAAATCGAGTAATTATCTTCTCTTTTGCTCTCTTTTTTTGTTTAATTTTTTTTGGCTTAAATTAATGTAATTTGAGGTTTCTTTGACTATTGCAGTATTGATGACTATGTTGGGGAGAACACAAGTGGAAATTACTCTGCCTTGTACAAGAATTTAGAGAAGTTAGTGAATGGTTTGGAAAAAGAAGTAATTTCCAAGTTGAACTGCTCAACAGTTGACACTCCAAGGTAATTAAGCAAATTTAGTCTTCACCTTTATCGATGTCAAGCAATTCTTAGCTGTAGTTTTAGCTTCTGAAATTCTCTACAAATGGTTGTTTTTCTATGCTTTAGGGATGATTGAAAGCTTCTGAAATTCTCTACAAATGATATAATCAATGGGAATAATTTTCTCTTGTTTATCCACTTTTTTTTTGTGTATTGTAGTTCAGTAAGAGGTGAAGGATCGAGGCACAATCGTCCTGATGTTACAATTAATGAACCAAGAGGCCCTCAAATCCATCCTTCAGGGTATCTCCTTTTTTTCTCCTTTGCGATTTTGATTTAATCGAGTTTGTCAATGCTTGTTTATATCATTTGTATGCTTCATTGATAACTTTACAACCATTAAACTTTCGGTAAATTTGTGATTGATGCAACAATCATAACTCCTTTGCGTTATTTATTTAGAAAAAAACTTTATAGTGAGGTTAAACTTCCATGACCATGGTCAGATAACGCATGTTATCAGTTGATCGACTTGTGGTTTAGTTTTTGAGTATGTTCAGATAGTAAGATTTCCTAATTTAGGCAAGGCTTACTAGTAAGGATTTTTTCCCTTCATTTTGGCGGATTAGAGAATAACTTATTTGCATATTAGGCTGGAACAGCAAATCAGTGATTGCTCTGGTACAATAGTATAAGAAACCTTAACTTTGTTATAGACTTCTGAGCATGTTAAAATTGTATCCAAGGAAAAGAAAGAATAAATGGGAAAAAATCAGTTTGAGACTGAGTTTTGTGTTTCTTTCAGTTCTTTAATGAAACCTTTCCATTAACTTCCTAACTAGCTCGTATGATCATCAAAATTATAAAACTTCCTTTACAGGGTTGTTATTCCACCTGTTAATCCTATTGGTGGTAGTGATCTGGTACCAGGGCCAGGTGCCGGAATGTATCCTACCAGGTACTACTGTTCTGAATCAGTTTTTCAGTGATCGCCACTTTTTAACTGGTTGATTTTATTTTCTGACTTGAGTGTGATTTTATTTCTTAAATGGATGTCAGGGGTGGTTTTGGTGGTGATGGTAGCATGCTTCTAGGTTTGTAACACCTGTTTTATCCATTTGGCAATTTTGGATGTTATAATCCTTTGGTGACTTAATTATATATTATAATTTGGAAACAGGACCCAACGATCCTCGCTGGTTTGGTGGAGTTGGTGGAGAGCATGGTTTCCCCGGAGCACAACCGTGAGTTCTCTCTTTCCATGTATATATCTGTGTGTGTATTGCTTACTTTGTACTAGTGATTTTATTTCTTTGATGGAAACAGGGGTATTCCTCCTGGTGCGCGATTCGATCCATATGGTCCACCTGGTGTTCCTGGATTCGAGCCATCTCGATTCACAAGGTACATGTAAATTCCCAATCAGTGTTGGGATCCATTGGGGTGGATATCAACATGATTATATGATTTAAACTTATACAACACTTCAATCGTTATCGACTTCTTTTCTCGCAGAAATCCTCCGCGGAGACCGGGGAGTGGTATTCATCCTGATCTGGAGCATTTTGGAGGTGGTTCAGATTTTATTTAGATGGATGGGGAAGAGGGTATATAGAAGTGCTGGTGCTTTTCGTGCCCAATCCTTTTGTTTCCAAATCATTTACAATCCTGTCTATATAGTAAAACTTGTTGAAATCTTTATTCCCTGAAATAATGAGTTATTGATATCTTTATCTTTGTTTTAATTTCTGTTCAAATGAGGAATCTCCTGATTACTGATAAAGGTAGAAATTGTTCAGTAAACAAGCGTTAACTGAAAATGTAATTCCAACTGTGATGAGTCAACCGAAATATTTAATGCTAAGTGTTCATTTGATTTAATGATTAGGAAAGGAGCCTTACTTATATTCAGCAGATCGATTTCATTTATTGTGTTTTGAAACTTATCTTGGTCTTTCAAAAGTCTAGCACACCCACCCCGGAAACAGAGGCGTACAACGGAGGCATTATATAGGTTCGAAAGAAATGGTATATTCTGATAAAGAACCTTAACAATTAATCCAATTTATTGATACAGTCCATCCACTTTTAAATTATATTTAAAAAGATATTAAACCATAGTTTAAAAATACTTCATTAACAAAGACAATGTTCTATTACTCTATGAGCTTCCCTGCAATGTACAACAAATGAGACTACACCTAACTTTTCAAGCCAAGAACCTTAAACAACGATGACAACAGCAGTGCCATTGACGAGATGGCTGGAACGAGATATCACATTGGTGAGAGAACTGAGGCTACTGGAAGCACCACTCCTGCTATTGCAAAGGGGTTTGCCATTGGATCAGCAGCATTGCTGTCATTGCCTCTATTTGGTGCCTTTCTGTGTCCTGCAACTAATCTTTATTGTTCATGTCTTCACCCCAAATGTTTTTTTTATTGGATTAATTATCGTTGTCATGCCCACCTATTAGTTCTCTTCCATGACCATGAAGAGTGTGGGAAGTACAACTTTAAAGATGGTTGATGAGGTTCGGAAACAGTTCAACACCATTTCTGGTCTCATGGAGGGTCATGCCGAACTCGATTATGCTACATATGTCAAATTTTCAATCGATGCCTCTATTAAGTAGATGATTTACCTATGGTGCCCTTGTTATTAGCCCTCATATTGTTGGAATTTTCTTTGGAAATGGAAATTAATTAGAAAACCAAAAAAAAATAAGAGGAGATGAATTTTTAATGGAAGCGGTGATGATTTTTCAATTCGGGGGATATTGTTGATCAAACAGTGAGAGGATGCATGCGGTGGAAAAGAATAATTATAGGTTTTTAATGATTTTTAATGGAAGTGGTGATGATTTTTCAATTATAGGATGTATACGGTTGGATTCAGGTTCGATTTTAATTTGAGTACGATTTAAAATCTTAACGAGTTAAGTCGATTAAGGTTTAACTCAATTTGAGTAACTTGTTAATTTTTGTTATATTATTTGTCTTATTTTTAAAATTGATTATATATTGTTACACTTTTTTTAAGAATGGTTGTAATATGTTAGTTTGGTTATTTGTAGATTATTATTTTAGTTGTAATATGTTAGTTTAATATGTTTGTGGATTTTATTGAGTTTAAATTTTGGAATTGTTTCACACTGTTTTGTTTTATTTATTAACTTATGTTTAAATTAAACTCTATTATTAGATTTTACATATATTTTAAAAAAATAAGATAAAAAATTTTGACGAGATTAACAAATAAGAAGATTTTTAATAAGCACGGACGAGTAAATTCTTTTATCAAATATCAAATTGAATCGAGCATGAATCAAACAAATTTTAAATCAAATTAAATTAATATTTAAATCAAATCAAATATTACTTAACTTATGATTAACTCGTTCGATAAAATACCCTTCACTCCCCCTCTAAAACAAAGCATCCAATGTATTTCTTGTCTTGTCAGTTCTTGCAAGTAGGTCAAGGTGTTGGACCCCTGTCGGATAGTTTTATTGTAAGATAAATTAATATACGTTTAAGACAAAACATTATCGAAAATATTAATATTTTTTAATATTTTTAATAAAATATTATTTAAAATATTATTTTTTTATTAGAAATATTAATTTTGCTATCTAATTTTTAGTAGAATTATTTTAGATAACACACAATATTAATATTTCTGATAAAAAATAATTTTTTAAATAACATTTTAGTAAAAATATTAAAAAACATTTCTAACCGCATATTTCTATAATTGTAAATTAGGTTACCCCGATGGCCCACAGTTTGTGAGAAATTTCCACCAAACTTGTCCCTTAGAAACGTAGACAAGTTGGAAACGTGTTACTGGCAACAAAATGTCTTCCATTTTGTCCCTCTCTAGAAGCCATGTATATTTCCATCATTAAAACCCCCACTTGCAATCGATAAAAATACAGCCTACCTAATTAATTAATCCCCATTATTGGGTTGCCTTTTTTGCTTATATTTCACCCACTTCTTTTAGCCCATCCTCTTACAAAAATGGAGAAATATCAGGGTGTTGTGCTCCTTTTCATGGTTGTAATCTGGGTTTCTTCATCCCAGAATCCCCTGGTTTCAGCAGCTAGGCCGCTTTCAATCTTGCCTGAACAACAAAGTAAGTCATCCAGTTTGTTTCTTCAGTTTTCGGTTGATTGTTTCAGTTGAGTTATGGTTTTGGTTATGTGATTTACAGGATACTCCAACATTTTGGCCAGTCTTGGAGTTGTTTGCGAGTGTTGCGATGGAAGTGGAGGTGAATGCTCATCTACTTGGGCCGGATTTGCCTCTATTTTGTGTGTATATATATATATATATCATCGCTAATTGAAACCAATGTATGGGATCATATTTTCAGTTTTCTTACTTGACAAACTCATTTTTAACATCAAAATTCTTACATACACTCTCCAAAACACATCTCTGCAACGTTTTTCAGAGTGCTGAACATGAGAAATGGTTAATTAAATGGTAAAAGAAATGGTGTTGGTGGGGTGTTTGAAAGCACTGAATAATCAGAGCAGTGATAATAAATCATTGACTTGGGAATTAGAAGTGAAGTATTTGTTTATTCATTTCTGAATTGGTGTCGTTATTATTATCCAAGTCCCTTTCCATTATGGTTTTATATATGGTGTAGATAAAAATGAACAACTTAGGCAAAGGTCATTGACTTGGTCGTCAAAATTGTCCTTTTATAAAATTAATTGCATATGCAATTTTTATTATTTAAATATCTATTTCTCTTGTCTCTTCTTCTTTTGTTTTGGATTTGATAGCGACAAAGTTTCTACGTTCATACTCTTTTTCTTTTTTTCAAAATTTTGAACTTTATTGATAAAAAGATTATTTTAGCCATTGACATCAGGTTTCGTCCGACTAAAAACCCAAGGTCTAAGCTCAAATTCACACTCACATGCCCACACATTGCGGGCTCATTTATACAAAAATATAAAAACTATAAAATTGGAACTCATTTATTTGAAACCTGTCGTAACCGGTTTTCGTCCGGGCACGAAATATTAAGATTTGGCGGGGAAATTGACGTTAATAAATAATTTTGAAAATAATTTGGGAGTCGCCATCGGCCTTTTGGGTCAGGTAGGTCGAATACCTAAAAATTATTTTCTTTAAAAGAGTTTTAATAAAACACCAATAAAAAAATAAATTGATCTACGTTTATAACCAAAAATTCATTCTTTTTAATAATAAAAAGGGATTCGTGGTCGGTTACGTTTAGGGAAGGATTAGCACCCCCCTACAACGCCCAAATTGGTACTTTTAATTATAATTGTCTCTATTATTAAAAGTTTAAAAATTCAAAAATATATTTAATTTATAATTCTATTATTTCAAAATTATAAAAAAAAATTATTTATTTAAAAATATCTGAAAAGAACTTCTAGGTGCCTTAAGACAGCTCTTTTCTTTGATATTGATAAATATTAATTTAAATAATATTGTTTACTTTTATTTTAAAATTCAGAATAGGACATCCAGTTGTATTAAGACTGTCTTTTTCTTCGATATTAAATAAATATTTAAAAATACTATTTATATATATTTATGAATATAAAAATATTTAACAATATAAAAATACAAATACTACTAAAACAATATATTTAAAAACATAAATAAATGAAAACATATAAAATAACTGACTAAATTACAATAAAAATAAAATTAAAAATCTAATTCATAATTAATCAAAATTATAGGGATTAAATATGTTATTTCATTATTTTATTTTTTAGTGACTAAAATAAAATTATCTAAAATTCGGGTATTATAATAAATAAATTAAAATATAAACTAGGGATTAAAATATTATTTAAAATTAAGGGATTAAATCTTTATTTATCCTAATATTTATTTTAATATGAAGGACTAAAATAAAAGAATTAAAATTCAAAGACTGATTTAAAAATATTATAAATTCAATTTAGTGACTAAAATGTAAAGTTTACAAATACGGAGGACTGCGGACGGGGTTTAACTATTTCATAATTATACGCATAGTCCTTCCCGAAACGACGTCGTCGGGAAGGACTATATATGGTCCAAACCGGCTGGCCCTTCGGCCAGCCATTTCATTTCCTTTTTTTTTTTCTTCAAGCAGAGAGAGAGCCAGAATTCTCTCTGGCCTCTCTCTAGATTCCCTCACCGGAGGGAATCCGGCAGCCGTCTGCCGCCGTGAATTCTGCCGCCGACCACCGCCTCCGGTGGTCGGAAATTCCCCAAATTCACCTAAAACGTAGATCTAAACACCCTAAGACCGAATCCAACCTTTGTTTCCCCAAAAAGACTCCTAATCGGAGTAAATCTATGAAAATACCTTCGGTATTTTCGGTTCTCCGGCGATGTTTAGTGCTTCCGGCAATGGTCAAGTCTTCCTTGGTAAGCTTCTCTCCTCTCTTTTCCTTCTTTTTGTTTGTTTTTGTTTTTGCTCTGTTGTTGTGGACTGGGATCGTTGGTAGTTTTTGTATCTCTCTCTGTTTCTGTTGTTTCTTTTTCTTTTCCCTTTTTTTTTTCTGTGTCTCTCTGTCTCTCCCGGGTTTTTTTTTCAGGTTGGGGTGGTGGCTTTTATAGCCACCAACGTTGTAGCCGTCGGACCGGTCCGAAGAGGGGGTCTCGGTGAGTCACCGGACTACCAGTGGTGACTCACCGAGTAGCCATGGCGTGGACGGCTGGTATTCTATCTTCTGGAGTCTTCGGTTGGGACGTGGCAGCGGCGGAGGCAGCGAGATAGCAACGGCGGCCGCGTGTCCCTAGGGTATCAGACCCTAGGGTTTCCATCTGGGGCAATCTGGACCGTTGGATCTTGCCAGATCCAACGGTTGTGAGCTGAGGCGGCTGGTTAAATTAGGGTTAGGAAACCCTAACTGGAAACCCAAATATTTAGGGTTTCTGGTTTGATCTGGACCGGTTCTGGTTGGTTTGTAACTGGGTCGGTCCAGTTGTAATTGGGCCTGTAATGATTATTTTTTTAATAATATTTATATATGTATTTAATATATTTAATAATAATAATAATAATAATAATAATGATAATAATAATAATAATAATGATAATAATAATAATAATAATAATGATAATAATAATAATAATAATAATAATATTAATAATAATAATATGGATAAAAAATTAGTATCTTCAGCTGCCCCTCTTTGCTCATTCTTGTGTTAACAAGAATAGGGCAAAGATGAAAAGATAATAAAATTTTTTATCCATTTGACTTTACTTTGATCATAATGGAGATATTGAATAAATTCTTCTCTCTCTCCAAATAAGTTCTTCTTATTATGAACTTTCTGCTGGGGATGATGATGACCTCCTTTCTGTGATAGAGTCATTCAAAAGGTTGAATAAGCTCTTGATGAGTTCTTCTCATTATGAACTTTCTCTAGAAAGGCTGATGCTAATCTATCTCCTTCTGTGATAGAATTATGCAAAAAGTTGAACAAGTTCTTCTTATTATGAACTTCTTCTTTCTTCTTCAGATGAGTTCTTCTTATTATGAACTTCTCTGGAAAAGATATCCATCAATTGATGAATTCAAGTAAAAGGTTGAACAAATTCTTCTCATTATGAACTTCTTCTTCCTTTCAGATG